TGTCATAACTCCTGGTCAGCACAGATCTGAATTTAAGTTAAGTTTATACATAGGCGTAGCTAATAAAATTTGTCAGTGGCACTTATTTTATAGTCTTGGATTATTATAAGCTTCTTTACCACATTACTTTATTTCGTTCTCTTCCCAAAAAAATCAATTCATTTATAGGGGGTACGAATATTTTAACGGGTATAGAACCTCCCACGACTTATATACTATTTTACATCTAAAATAATTGAAAGTGACAATTTAAACTAATTACTTTTATCGTGTTAATTACAGTATTATGAAAAAAATCTCCAGCACAGTGGGGATGTGACATTGAGCCATTAGATGGCGTTGTTGCTTATATTATGTTATAATAAAGTCAGTTAATGAAATGCTTTACTCGTATTAACAATGATGATCTTTTATTTTATTTTTATTTTTATAATTTCACGGGCAGAAGCCCTTTTTACAAATAATACAAGTACATAAATTAGATTATTGTAACATAGAAAGATACATACTAAAAATATGTAAATTAATTATTAAACGTAAAGATTAAATACAAAATGAAAATGAATTTAATTATTAAACATAAAGAAAAATACAAAAATTAAAATGAAAAATAAGGGTCAACATTGGCATTATTTATAAGACGCCTAAGTGGTTAATTTTTTGCATAATTAGTTAGGCAACAAATGGAGCATTATTTCTTGTTGCGCGCTGAGGTACTCTGAAACATATGAGGGACAACAGGCTCTGCGAATCAATATTACCATCCAATAAACCAGTTAGGAAATTAATTCCAGCATTGCGCCTACGTTCAGCTAATGACGATAGTCCAAGCAAATACGAGACAGGGGCATAATCGTGATTTGGACAGAGTATGTTGAGCGAGTAGTTGACAAAGCGTAGGAACTTTCGCTGAACTCGTTCAAGCTGTAGCGAGCCCAAGGCAGTATAAGGATCCCACACTACACTACCATATTCTAGAATAAGTCTGACAATAGAAAAGAATAGCACTTTAAGTGAAAGTCCTTGCTTCAAATCTTTGGCCAAGCGCATAATAAAACCTAACGCTTTAAAAGCTTTACAGCAAACATAATCAATATGAAGCGTAGGATCAAGATTATAACTAAACTTAAAGCCTAGATCTGTAATAGAGTTTAACTCACTCGAGATGTTTACTGCAGTAATACTATAGTGAAACATAATAGGATGTTTTGTTCTGTGATACGTAAAGACCTTGCATTTGGTTAAATTAAGTGACAATCCCATTGAGTTAGACCATTTAGAAAATCTATGAAGGTCATCCTATAATTTCAAACAGTCATCAGTCGAGCTTACACGCATAAATAGTTTGATGTCGTCGGCAAACAAAGAAAATGACAATGGTGTAAAACTTTATGCACACAGTTTAAGAATAAGGAAAATAGAATAGGGGACAAGTGACCTCCCTGGGGGACACCAGAAGGCGCTAAAAATACATTAGACTTAACGCCGAATACTTTTACCCATTGATATCGGTCACAAATATAGGAACTAATCCAAGATAGTAGTGGTTCACCAAAACCATATTGTCTAAGAACAGTAATAAGAATCGTATGATCCACAGAGTCAAATGCTTTACTGAAATCATTGTATATAATATCTACTTGTAATTGATTTTGGAAAGCATTAAAAATATAGTTGGGGAACACAAGATTACAGGTGGAAGATGAGCGACCCGGGCGAAAGCCATGCTGTTCTTTCGTTAAAATGTTATTAATAGGTCTTTGAATTCCATTAAGTATAAGCAATTAAAATATTTTTGATATATGGGACTGTATAGCTATAGGGCGGTAATTTGAAATAAGACTAGGGGAGCCCGTCTTGAATACCGGTGTAATGGAACTAAGTTTAAGCATAGAAGGGAATGATCCTTCGTCTAATGAACGCCTAAATAAGATCCATAGAGGATATGCCAATAACTCCCTTAGTTCATATAAAAATGTACCAGATAAGCCATCTGGACCCACAAAACAAACACCTCGTAAGTTTGATAATTTGTGGTAAACATCATCAACACTGAAGTATTCGTTGCTAGAAAGGTCAAAGGTGGGAATATCAAGTTGGTCAATTAAGACATTATTTTTCTTAGCACTGTAAACCGAAGAAAAGAAGTCAGAAAATAGATTTGCAGACGTAAGCTCATCAGAAGAGCACACGTCGTTGTAGGACAAAATTTTAGGTATATTGCAAGATGATCGCTTGCTATTAACATATTTCCAAAATTCATACGGTTTATCTTTGAGTAGTTTTTCAGCATTACTAATGTGTTCACGATAGCATTTTTTAGAAGTATATTTAAATTTGGGACGAAGAAATGAAAATTCTTTATAGCATGACATGTTGGAAGAGGACTTAAACTTAGCATGAGCTACCCTTTTTTGACGCAGTATTATTTTGAGCTTAACACTAAACCAAGGAGGATAAGTGGGTTCATAAAATTTACATTGAGAAACAAAATCAAGGATAGATTTATGCAGAGCATCATAAAATATATTAGTAGCGCTGTTAGCATTGTGGGGGAGAAATGTGTTATACCAGTCGTAAGAAGAGATAAATTGCCAAGTACTATTGTAATTAGCTCTCTTGAAATTATAGAACAGATGGCTACGATCGAATCTAGGAAAACAGAAATTGGTGTTTAAAATTAGATTTAGTGCAGGGTGATGTCGTGATATGCTTAATATGCTTAATCAGACAAAAGTTTATTATACCTCTATAAGAGGAACTTAACATATATTTTTATATCTACTTGTCTTTGTCGTTCTAAATCCTTGAACCATACGACCTCGACAGAACCACAACATCAGGTTCTCACTATACACAAAAACCCAAAACCCTATCACTTATAATTTTACTCTCATTTTTATTTTATTAATTTTTGTTATTTGAATTATAACAGTGATATGCGTCAATAGGCACAAGTGGATCACAAGATTTTTCAACACTTAACTGCTTATTAGAGCTAAAGATTAGATCCAAAATATTATTAGAGGCATTACGTATGTCATTGGCTTGGAAAAACCCACTTGTTGCGAATGATTCAGGCACACATGGCGCGCGAGGTGATGAGGAATAAGAATAAGATAATCCATTACTATCGTTGTCCCAAGAGATCTCAGGGAGATTGTAGTCACCACAGATAATAAAAGTGTGATCAGGATACTTTATTATCAAAGATTCAACGGCATTTATATGTGATTCATAAGTATTAGGGGGAGAAAGGGGAGGCATGTAGACCTCACCAATAATATAGTTCAAGGTACCAACAGTAGGACGAACAAAGACGTGTTCAACATTCAGTTGTTCAACTAGGATGGGGTAGGAGGGAATACCTTTGCGAATGCCAATGAGGACTCCACCACCACGATTACAATTACTAGTAAACATACATCTGTCATATCTAAAAATATTATAGTTAAAAAGACCCAGTTCAGAATTAGAAAATTGAGTAGTAAGCCAAGTTTCAGTGAGTACAATGAATAAACAATCTAAAGAAGAAACGTTACAATTAAAACGAGGTAGTTTTGATTTGAGTCCACGACAGTTTTGGTAGTAACCAGAGAGTGGACCATGAAACATCGACGGTGTTATGAGCGGATGCGCAGTTGAGGTCCTCCGTTTTTTGAAAGAATTTTGCCTACTTTCGGCAGCACATTTTTTCCGGCCGCCGATTTTTGTTGACTTTTTTTGTCGCGCGATTAAAAAGCGCTATTTATTTATTTTGCTGTACTTCCGGACCCTAAGACACTCACCGGGGTCCACGTACGATTTACATCGTACTAAAATCTGTTTCATTTTTTTTTTTTTTAAACGTAAAACGCGAATGCCTAACCACCGCAAATCAATTTTTTTGCGCGCGACCCAAAATTCACGGTAACACGGCCACTGGAGTTTTTCGTCACGCGCATAAGTTGGACTTTGAACCGTGCGACTTTCTATCGTCCGTGTTTCGGACCACGACCGGGTTTCGGTCGTTCTATCGATATTATTCGCATCAATGCGCTCGCGTTATGTAATCAACCTGTTGATCACAATCAATTGACACATTGCCATCGTTTCATCTGATCTCGATTTATAAAAAGTGATTATTACCATAAGTTTTTTATATAAATATATAATTTATATATAGTTCATATATAAATAGAATAATAATAATTCATATATAATTTATAGTTTTTCTTTTTTTTTTATAATCATACCCGGTTTTTGATCACAGAATTTATTTTTTTATTTTTTCTAAACATGGTAAACCGGTGTGTTTTGTGCTTCACCACCGTCGCCGACGGTGTCAGTTTACACAAGTATGTACACGTTAATTAATTGTTTTCGATTCGACGTCTCCTTCAGTCTGATGGACATTTGCGTTCGTAGGTTTCCGAGGTATACCCAAAGGGCCGATTCCTGGCTACAGTTTACTGTGACGTAATCCGTCGGACGTAAACGTCCGCAATGCGTTTTTGTGTTACCGGCATTTTCTGCCCAGCGACTACTGTACTGTGCGCAGGGTGCTCAACCGGAACGCCGTACCGTCTGTAAATAATAATTATAATAGTTAACAGTAATTGCTACAATTGTCTTCGATGATCTTGCTTTACCCTTTAAGGTCAATGTCACGGAGCAACATAATGAGGCCGACTTAATAAATTTGTATAATTAATTTCATTAAGTAACGGTTACGGAATGTGACGGTATTAATTCGTTCACTTTTTTTAAATATTTCTTACAACGCGTATATATGTATGTATACGTTGTAAGTATCGCGTACACAACACGTCAGGTTCCATACCCGAGTTATCCTGAATTGTAACAATAGAAGTTGGCACCGTGTAGGTTGAAATTGTTCGCGCGGTGGACATTGATGTTGGCGATGCTGGACCGTTCGGAGGAAACGTCGTCGCTGGCGGTGTTGGTGCCAGTGGAAACGATTTGGTGAAGATTATACGCATAATAATAATAATAATAAATTTACTTCATGAATTCTTTGCACTATTTCTCATTGAACATGTGCAGGTTATATAATTCGACGTATACCCAACCTTCTACGACCTCTCCTAGCCATTCGTTGTGGATACTCTACTCGTGAGACATTAACTGTCAATTCTAAAAATAGTTATAACAATAAATACAAGTTAATAAATGTTCAAATATACTTACTTTCTTGTTGTACTTTTTCCCGATGTTCTTTTATTGCATTCCCAAGAAGATTACAAATATTAGTAATAAAGTTATCCATAGATAGACAAAGAGTTGTGGTTTGAACTGAAGTTCGACAAAGAGGACACACATTACTTTCTCTCAACCAAGTATTTAAACAAATTTCACAAAATGTATGGCTGCAATTAATTGTACACGCCTAAAAAAAAAAAAAACAAATTTACACATTAAATTTTATATAAAATATTCATTTTCACAATTTATGATTAAATTTTATTTATTTCCCAATGATAATGAAATATTCAAAATCATTTTTTTAATCTAATTTATGGATGCGTAAAATTCAAGTTTTCTTGAACTAACATTTTGTCGTAATATGCACAATGCTTTGCATTACGCATCTTACATTTATCAATATTTAATATTTAATTAATAATATAATTATATTTAATATATCAATATTTAATACCAATTGTATAAAAACAAATAATTTATTTATCTGTCATAACATATACACATTTGTACTCTAGCTATTACATATGTATATACATGTTAAATTGATTATTGTATACTATGCATCTTATCTTAAAATAATTATCTTGTTATGTTCAAATTTTATACAATAAACTGAAAATCACTTAAAGCGCTGACGGCAACAATCCATGATGGGGGTAATTAAAAATCATATAATAGGTGCTGATTTTCTAAGAGACCTTCAGTTCTCTCTTCTTATTGAAGATCTGAATTCAATAAGGAATTCAGAATTCTTCTAACTGATTTATTTTGATCAAACTAGCCGCGACCCCGTGTTGTCGTCGGTACATTTTAAAGCGATATCAAGTACAATTATTTTTGCATCAATACTTTATTTATTTATTAAAAAAGAAAAATATAAATCTGAACGTAAGATATATAAAAGAAGTAAGTAAATTTTTATTAACCCAATTATTTAGAATTAATAATCTAAGTAAAGAATGATAAAGCAATAGATCACATATTTATATTTAAACTTTATTAATTGTTACTGACTAGTTCGTACCTTATACATAATCACATTACATGGTATTTGTGAGATGGCCACCGCCTCTTCGTTGCCTCAGTGTATTATTTCAGGTACTTACCAGTTAGGTCATTTTTAATACCTCTATGAGAGGAACTTAATACAAATCTTTTTATATCTACTTGTCTTTACTATTCTAAACCCTCGGACTCTACAACCCCGATAGAACCTCGTTGCTCCTGAATTGACCAAATCCCCAAATATCCAACATTAAAAAATAAAATACCCCAAACAACAACATTTTTGCTTATTTTTGTATTATTACAATTTTGAGATAAAATATGTTTTATTTAAACTTCAAACCCAAGTTCTAAAATAAAATAATTTTACTGGTATAATTATGAAGTATGTGATTTTTTTTTCAGTCTCTTAGAAGCTAATTAATCAAAAACAAAATTTAAAAACTTATTTAAATTTTGGACAAAAAAAGTTACTAACTTATAAAATAATAATATATAGACAATGACATAGTAATATTTTTCATTTTACCTAAATTGCATTTTATTTTCATAAACAAACAAATTTACTTTAAAATGTGACACATCATGGTAAAGTAATGTAAATGTAAGTAAATGAAGTAATTGTAAAATCGTTTTTATCTTAGAAGATTAAGCAAATTTTATTTTAAAATGAAAATTTGTGTCTTCTTATGTNTATTAAGCAAATTTTCTTTTAAATTGAAAATTTGTGTCTTCCTATGTTTAGCAATCATATTAATTGTTAGTTCAAAATAATAATATAAAAACATTTACCTAAAGAAAAGCATTTTAAATTACTTTACTAGATTTTACTATATGAATTTTACAATTGATTTTTAAACACATTTATTTACTTTTTTAACTAATAAAAAAAAAATTTCATCAGAAATTATTTTTTTAATTAAAATATTTTAGCTTTACTTTTCAGAAATTTTATTTATAATTCTAGAACTATAAAGTTCAAAAAGTTTTCAGACCTCTACTATCACTTTATATTATTTAACAATCTTAAAATTGATTAAAAGGTATTCCCTAATGCATTTTTTAATCAAAGTAACATAATAAATTTGCTAAAAACTTTTAACATGATGACGTGTTATATTTACACTATTAATGGATTTAAATGTAAAAATAATACCTTAACCATTAATTCATTACAAATTGAACATTGAAAATCACTTTCTAAAACACTATTAACCTTTTCTTTGATTGTTTCTTCAATTTTTGATATTTGATCTAGAAAAAAAAATTCAAACAAAAAAATTAACTTCTCAAAAAAAAAAAAAAGATAATAATTAAAGTATGTTGAAGCTATTAAATGACTTAACAAAGTTTAACTTAAAAATTTTATCTAGAAAATAGAATTACAAATGATAATAATTTGATAAATACCTCTTTTTAATGTAATTTAACATTAGCCTTAATACAATTGAAAGTTTAGGAAATATAAGATAAATTAATTTTTTCAAAAATGTCTTAAATCCATAGGTGTTTTATTTTTTAATTAATATTTTTTCTTATCAAAATATTTAATAAAAGGAATAAGATTTATTTATTTTTAAAACGNATATTTAATAGAAAGAATAAGATTTATTTATTTTTAAAACGTGATGAAGATGTTTCTAAAATATTTATAAAAATCAATTAAGACCATACATGATAATGCATTATAAATTATATTTTTCTTAAAGATTTGAATTATAATTGTTATAATATAAAAAAATGTAATGTTTTATAAACAAAAATGTATGTTTATATGTAACTGCTTTTGATAATTACTTAATAATCAATGACCATATGGACATGATATTGTTACCAATGTTTCTAATGTTTAATTTAATACAATAGTAATATATAAGCCCAAAATTAATTTATACCCCATTACGTGAACTCCATCCAAAAAATAAATAAATGGAGTTCATAGGTTATTCACTTATATATTTTATACAGGTAAATAAGTCCAGATTAAGACACAATATATTTCATGTTATATACTAAGAATTTCATGCGACTTTGCTTTAACAGGTATAAAATTAAATAAATTAAGTTAATAACATATATAATCACCTTGTTGTATTTTTAGAGTATGTTGGTAATCTAAATTCTGTTTTGTTAATTCATTATTAACGAGTTTATGCTGCGGAACAAATATGATTTAATACAAAAATATAAGTTAATAAAACATGATTTTAGAACTAATTTAAAAACTAATACATTATATATATATATTTTTTTAATTATAGTAAATGTTAATAAAAAAATTATTATTGTGTGAAAATAATATAATATGTATTAACCAGAGGTTAAGTTATTTTTACTTAAAATATATTTACTTTTAGAACTGTTTTTTTCAATTTTTTAACTTTTTTTGATTCTTGATTAATTATTTTATTAAATTTATCTAATTTAGCAATTAGAAAACGCTTCATTAATGCTTTTTCTCTTTTCAGCTGAAATAAGTCAACTAATAATTAAAAAATTGGATTTAAATTAGTGATACGGTCACATTTTGTGCATAAATCTTGGTTCAGTTAATAACTCTTAACAGCTTGGTCAGCATTCATGCTTATTATAGATAGATATACAGGGACCCGCTGACAATGTTAATATACACATTCTTACAGAAAACTGTTTGTGAAAATGTAGTGCAACAAGCAGTTGATACCTACCATATGAATGTTTAACATCTAATTAATATTATTTGAACCCATTATACTTTAATTAGTTTTTTCTAATGTGATATGTACTAATTAAAATGTTGGGTTATTGTTAACAGGCATATGAGATATGTACCCAAATAGGGTCATATCATAAGTAAAAATTAAAAATAAATATATAATTTTTGTATTCATTTAAAGAAATGAATTGTAAAAAAAAAGATCATCGACAGAATTAAAACTTACAATATTGTCAACATCAGATTGACTTTTACTAGATTCATATTCTTCACCATTTACTTCATTATTTCGTCTGAAAAATAAATACAATTAATTTAAACATCTAACTTTATAAAAATTAAACACAAAAAGCAGAGTAATTTTAAAAGAATAGGGTATATATGAATGAAATATTTTAAGCATAATTTTGAATTTTGCAAAAAGGCATTTTACCATGAATGCAAGTTTTTTTAAATATTTTTTGTGAGCAAAGCATATTTGACACGGCCCGCGTCGCTTCGTTATACACGATGCCCCGCGACTCGTGCCACCTTTATCAGCCGTCGCCTTACTATGAGTATTTGGCTGATCAACACCGCGTGTTATACGCTACGGTGCAAAGTCCAACAAATGCCGCACGGCCGACGACCACCCGCCGCAAATGGTGCGAGAGTCTTCCTCCCGTTGTGAAAGCGACAACGTCGACCAACCGATCCTCACCCGCCTACAACGCTGCTAACCTGTTGTCGCCCAAGTGTCACGCCGGACATCGCGTCGTCGACGCCAGCGAAAGTGCCGCGATATTATGCGAAGATTATTATTACTGTGTTTATCTTTTCGGTTTGTTAAAATAATCTGTTGTCGCTCATTTAATAAACGGGTCTCTATCCTCAAAATCAGTGTCGACCACATTTTTGCGACATAAGTCGTGTCAACTGGCTCCCCGGTAAGGATCTCAACCGGCCTTACATTGGATTAAGGTAAGAAAACCAGTTGCTGACTTAATTTTTATTTTTCAAATAAGACAGTTGGATTACCTTTACATTCACTTTTCTCCAAGTTATTTCAATCACACAGTTCACTGGTGACGGCAGTGGTTTTCCCACCCGGTTGTATAGGTACTATCTACCTCGCGAATAGTACATTTCCACCTTCGGTGTATTTTTAAACATGGTAAAAGTGGATTTCTGTATTTATACATACACGCGCACGGACGACTTTGAGTCGCACAACGCCGCGAACACAACCGTTTAAGAGGCTTACACACTAGGCGTTTAATCGCGCGCGTTCTTGTTTTTAAAAACGCGGCGATTAATCGCTTTATATATAACACTCGCATTTAAATTAAACCATGTACACTATGATTAAAAACATGCGTTCGGACGCGACCGATCGCTAAAATTAAATAACACAAATCGCATGTTATCATTCACACGGGGCGATTAAATGCCGCGATTTCCGGGCACGTGAGGGTTCATTCAAACTATTTTCACTTACAAACACCAAACACAGGGTCTTCATTTACTAGATATTAATTTGAAAATTGGTAATAAAATTTACATTACAATTTTCTTTATTTTTTTTTACCTCAATGTAACTGTAAGTCGCTCTTCTGGTGGTATTGATAATTGTATACAAGTATCCTCTTTTTGAAGTTTTGATCCAACTAATATAATCTTTAAATTTTAGATAATTCATATTTTTTTTGTAAATTTAATATTATATGAGATTCTATTTAATTATTTCATCCATTACATTACTTAAAATACTTAACAAAATAATTTAAAATCTTTTTTGAAAAAAATATTTTTTGTTATTGATCTAGACTAGAGTTTATAGATCTAATTTTCGGCCAAACTCAAAAAACTTAAAGTTTTAACTTAAAATCTACTTGAAATTCTTTATTCAACTACATGGTCCAGTGGGATAACTGTGAATAGGGATCATGGGCGCCCGCAGGAAATTTATCAGGGGGGAGGGCAAAAAATATTAAATACCAAAAAGTAACATTAAAAAAGTGTTTATTAACTGAAAATTGCAATATATATATATATAATTATTATATATATTCATGAGTCATTACTAAATGAACAATAATGTAACAGCTTATGAAGATAAAACCCATTAAGTCAATAAAAATAAATACATCTAAAAATCTTATTAGATTTTTTTGTTTTATAAATAAAATTTTCAGATTATTCAAATTTAAATCAGATTGGTAGTAATTTTTAAAAATGTATTTCCAAAGTTCAGGGAGGGGCAAACGCTCCCTCTTGCCCCCCCTGCGGGTGTCCACGAGGGATCATTGTAAAAAAGACTGGCATTTTGAACCAAATTAACAAACATAAATTTGAATATAAATATTTAAGTAAATAATTTTGCTTTCATAAATGATATTGGTAAAATTATTTTTGAGTTTTTTAAATGTCTTAAAAACTTTTCCTGATTAATTGGGTTTAATGTAAATTCCTTTAAAATAAAAATATAAAATTAAATTTTTTTTAAAAATTCAATGTCCTAGAAATATAATTTGTTATTTAATATACAGGGTGATTCATTAAGAACAAGACACTCGTTTACTGAGTAACTATTGAAAATTTAAAATTTTTGGTAAGAAAAATATTGTTTGATTCAAAAAACACGACAATAATATGTAGTAAAAACATGATATTTTTCATCCCTTCAAGGTTAAAAAACATAAACTTGAGTTTTTTTAAATGAGAACACATATTTTGAATTTAATAAAATGTTTGAGTTTTTAATTTAATAGTAAATGACATATAAATTTTTAATATAACTTTATTCGTTTATTAGATATAAACACTTAAAGTTTCAAATTTTTGAGTTAATATACATGTATAATACACAAGGGTTTACAAATACAGGTAGCTAATTGGTTTTTTATGACATTGCTGTCACAGTCACGGATTGTTCATTATCAATTATGACTATCAAGAGATATACTTTCTGTATTGTAAGTTTGTGTATTTATAAACTCACAACAATGTGCCTTACTACCATTGATAATAACAATTCTGTGTACCTGCTAATGTCGATGTCATAAAAAACCAATTAGCAACCTGTATTTGTAAACCCTTGTGTATTATACATGTATATTAACTCAAACATTTGAAACTTTAAGTGTTCATATCTAATAAACTAATAAGTTATATTAATAATTCAAATGCCATTTGCTATTAAATTCAAAATTCAAAATATGTGTTCTCATTTAAAAAAACTCAAGTTAATGTTTTTTAACCTTGAACGGATGAAAAATATCATGTTTTTACTACATATTATTGTAGTGATTTTTGGATCAAACAATATTTTCCTTACCAAAAATTAAAAATTTTCAATAGTTACAGAGTAAACGAGTGTCTTATCCTTAATGAACCACTCTGTATATTTAGGTCTAGTAGTAAAATTAAAATAAAATGTTTTTTTTTTATAAAACTAACAAAAATTATTTTTGAATATATTTTGTGCTGTACGTGTAAGATAATAACTAAAAAACTTAAAAATTGAACAAACTAGTGTTGAATTATGTTATTGATTTAAATTAATGTTTGTAAAGTAATGAATTAAAAATCTTTCTAGCATACAAAGTTTAATTTTATTATTACACAATTGTACACGCAGTGGTGTTTTTGGGGGTATTTGCGGTATACTTATTATAAATTGTTTTAATAAACGAATACCTTAGAAAAATAATACATATATAATATTTATATTGTAAAGTATAAGCTTAAAACTAATAATACACCCTAAAATAAAAGAATGGATTTAATGAAAATACCATTTCAAATACATGTCAGTATTAGTTGTGATGTACTAAGTACTCAGTCTTGAGGGAATGTACAAAAGAAATTGTTGATTTCCCCCCTCAAAAAATTGTATTTTCACAGGGTAATTATTATTATATGAGGTAATCCTCCCTCAAATTGACGCCCTTGAATATAAACCTGCATTATTCAAATCAATGAATGTTTTTTTTATGTTACAGCTAATAATTTTAAAATACAGTAAATAACTCAACTTAACAATTCATCACACGAGCGTATAGACATATGGTAGTACCTGAAGAATTCTTCGGGATAACTCCTCAAAATTAAAAAAACCCAGCACAGTGGTGATGTAACATAGTTGGATCAAGTATAATGAAGTCTGACAGTGATTAAAATCACTATAAAAAAAAAACGCTTCGATGCAAATCTTTAGATAGTGTTTAATTTTAAAAAAATTGGTGGATTATTCCAAAAGCTACATGATCTGTTATTTCCTTATTATTATTCTGAATGAAAAAGGGATTATTAAAAAATATTATTTCTCATAAAAAAAATGTGTTGATCCATACACTTTTCAATAAGTTATAGCATTTTGAAGTAAAAAATGTAAAATATAAAATCGAGAATTTTCACACAAAAACAGCATTCGGTAGCCATCTTCACCACGAAGACAAGTTCAGTGGTCAAATTTTTTTTTTCCATAATAAAGTACATTACATTATCTTTAATTTAAGATATATATAAAAGTGTCAGACTTTCCGGAACATATTCAAAAGTAAACTGTAAAAGTAAATTTTTTGTGAAAAAGTTATCATTTTAAATCCTCCTTGTGGGCAGAATTAAAAAAAAATATACCAAATGTAAGGTAATGATATCATGCATCTATATAAAAAAAATTATATTGATTTGGTTATTTTTATAAAAGTTATAGCAATTTTAAGTAAAAAAAATGGAGGTTTTCCCCATTTACGGGTAACGAGGAAAATTTTTTCAATTTTTGAGGGGAATGTCTTCGACAAGATACGATTTGTGATCTTTTGACATATTGTTAAAAGAAATCCGTTTGGTGAGAGTTGAGAAAAAGTGGTAACAGACATACGAAAAAAAAAAAAAACACATAGTAAAACCAATACCTTCTTAGCTTCGCATCGAAGCTAAAATTAACTTGAAATTGACCTTCTCGAGGTCTTTTTAAATTTAGGGGGTGAACCCAATGTTTACGAATACTTGTTTTTTTATGTTTGTTTGTACAGCGAAGATACATGGCGTATACAACGCATGCAACTTCTACATCATCTAATGTATCCATACTTACTTTAACTTATTTTATACTTTAAAAAATAAAAAAATAATCAGACCAAATGCTACTACGAGGAATTTCGAAGCTGTTATGATTATACTGTAGCTTTTGGCGGGCTAATTTTCTTTGTAAAAACGCGTCAATACGCTTGTAGTATGCACATCAAAACGCGTACGCGCGCGATTAAACGCCTAGTGTGTAAGCCTCTTTAATTGTTTCGATAAAACCGCTAGGCAGGTAGGGTGATCATACACATTATCATACCACAGCGATAGTTACATTTGACAACCGGGTCCCATAATACCGTTTGTATTATTAATTGTGTCGTCACGATCATAAAGATTACAATTACCATCATTGCAATCACATTCCCAGGCACAATTCACTGTCATAGTGCTTTATCAGTACACTATCTTAGCAATAACAATAATAATACAAGCGGTCAGCATTGTTAACGTTTATAAGCGAACGTATCGTATTTCCGAATAAAAAAAACAAACTACCACTTGTACTTTTAATTTTTGGTTAATCCGATTGAAATACGGTCAATAACGTA